AATGCTATTGGCAAGTTTTTACACGCGAGCGGTCCGGGATCAAATCCTGGGTCGTGAGTCGCCCGGGCCAACCAAGCCTTCCATCCCTCCGGGGTCGGTTAATTGGTACCAGACTTGTCTGGGAGGATAAAAAACACTGACTTGAACATCGGCTGGCCCCCGCAAGTCATTGTATAGGCCACATCGCATTCAAATGCCACTGCGAATGTACAAATGGAAGTAGAATGCGTGCCGCATCCCAAAAGGGATTGATCAACGGCAAATGCTTTATCCTTTTTATCCTTTATTAAAATATTCTGGGGAATTCAACAGTAAACTTTTGTGTGGGGAAGAAAGAGAGAACTAGAACAAACAAGTCAAAACTTCGCCTGCATCAACAGAATAACTGATAATAAAAACAACCGCCCTAAGATGAGTGTAACGGGCAATCTGATAGATTGGAACCAGGACGCTGAGAACTGCATTGAAAGAGAAGGATTCCTTTTTGCTGTATTTAACCCTGGACTGATCCATGAAAATCGCTCGTTTCCCGCACCCATCTAGACGACTCTTTACCTACGAGAGTGTGAGATCAGAGCGGTTGAACTTGATCGGTCGTCGTTGCTCGTACATATGGTATGTGGCGTGGGTGTTCACTCCTATGATGGCGTGGTGTTGCAGAGCCGATATGTTTGTGTTCGACAATTTTGTCCTCTGTGAACCCAACGAGAGCTGAAATGAAAAGATTTTTTGCAACAATCTTTCAATTTTTCATTTTTCAATTCTCCTGAAGGCGAACTAAATGCCTTAAAGACATTTCGCATGCGTCCTGTTTAGGATAAAAAGGGTATCCGACAGGAGGTTCGCGGCAAGAAGGCAGAGTCAGCGGACGAGTCGCAGCGCGTGATGTGCGATGTAGGACGTACAATGGTACATTCTATTCAACTTGACGCGAAATCACTACAGTACGCTGCGACTCGTCCGCTGACTCTGCCTTGTTGCCGCGCGACGGGCCTCCTGTCTGGGTACCCGGATAAAAATGTGTGTGTCTGATCTGTAATCGCTCCAACTATTGGTACAACTATTAACAAATATCAAATTCACCATCGATTTCACTTGCTCCTCATCCACGATCTGCATATCATCGCGGAATATTCTCCATGACATACGATCCAGTGCCTTTGTCTCACTAAATGAGAGTCTTATCGTCAAATATTTCAAAATCCGACACATTTTAATATTTGTAATTTTGAATGTTTAGTATGGGGATAACGAAAACTGAGCTTCAAGAGTTTGTGCTCCTCTGCAAGCAGGTGTGTACATAGTTGTCACCGGTAGGTGTAGAGTGGAGTGGGGTCAAATTGGTTCTTTTTACAAGATTAATTAGTGACCCATTCGATCCGCACTATTCAGTCTTCAGACCCACTCCAAAAGGTCAATCAAGAATTGGTCCGTTAAAATCGAAACATCGTCACATACAGAAAACTTCTCATTTTTTGGAATTCTTCGGGGTTTTTTCTCGCCATAAACTTCTCCACTAAAGCCCACAGTGCCATTGAAATTCAGGTTGTAAAGATGCTCTGAGAAAGCACGATGTTTCACCAAAATAGACTGCTATGAACTTAAATGCTGTTAATAATGCCTACTAGGGACCAGGGCGGAAGTGGTGTAGTGGCAAGTGGCACGCTTACCACGCGAGCGGTCCGGGGATCAAATCCTGGGTCGTGAGTCGCCCGGGCCAACCAAGCCTTCCATCCCTCCGGGGTCGGTTAATTGGTACCAGACTTGTCTGGGAGGATAAAAACACTGACTTGTACATCGGCTGGCCCCCGCAAGTCATTGTATAGGCCACAAACGCCACTACGAATGTACAAATGGAAGTAGAATGCGTGCCGCATCCCAAAAAGGGATTGATCAACGGCAAATGCTTTATCCTTTATCCTTCAACTGGTGACCATGCTCAAGAATCCTTTGTTTTCAAGTTCTATCACTACAAAATCGCAGTTCTATCTCGGGAGGAATTTTTGGATTTCAATATTACTAAGATGTTATTCATACCAATATCGTCTCAGAGCCCAAGCTCCAACAATTGTTAGAAGGAAGCAGATAACAGCTGAAGCAGCCACGATGATCAATGTGTAGTCGCATTTCTCTCCTCTAAACAAACACGTGTATTGTTTTGATTACCATGCAAATTCTGTCGTTACAATAACTAGTAAAAATTCATTTCTGGCTAGTTTTTGTTAATGCCCTGAAATTTCATAGATAGGAACCGTACTCTACCGCGCAGTAGCAGTGAGCAGTAGTACAGATTATTCTTATCTATAAGACTTTAGGGTCCGTTATTACTGGTTTCTGCATTACTTATGGTTAGTCTCGAAAAACTCGTAGTTGCCTTTCTGGCATCATTTTAGACGAATAATTTTCTTCTGACGCACCTGAATCCACATGTAGGCTCATCGATGGGTAGATTGCCGTCGATTGATGGCCAGAAGGACGTTAGCACTTCGGTGACGTTCTGAAAACACCTAGTTATATAGCTTCCTAGTTCTTATGAGGTAATCCTGAAACATGCGGACCTTGTCAATGGAATTCTTCGAGAAGAAATTTAACAAAATATGTTAGTTTCCTTCCCAGTTGATTCGATTCTGACAAGGTGGGACCCCAGAAACTTTGGAGCAATTGGGGTTAGATGTGAACCAAGTCAAGGCATGTGTGACCGAAAAATGTGGTGGATGAAATGTGTTACCCTTGCTCGAACTGCCGTCATTTTCGTCCTGTCGGTTTCTGATATTCACACACCCCCATCCCACACCCCCACCCGTCATGAATGCTACAGAAAAAGATCCACTCGTATTTTCACTTTGAAATTAGACCTTCAGTGTTCTTGACCACAAAATCCTCAAATGAGTTAGGTACTTTGACTAGACGAATACGGTGTTTATTACAAGTTTGCATTGGTGGTTCAAAATTTTGTGTCCGTCGTGGTTTCGATTCAGCCTTCCCCTCAATCTTTTGGATCTATGGAATTTCATTTCATCAAAGAACTTGACCAACAAAACAACTTACGATTTCGAAGCATCCGGTGCCAGTTTTGAATACCGTCGCAGTTCATTATCATCGATGGGGCCATGTTTGCGAACGGTTTAACCTGAATAGTAGGAATATTCAGTCGTGAATTAGAGTGCTTTATTTCATAGCTAGTTCAGCATTGTCGAGCTGCTTCGAAATGAACAACCAGCGCGAAGCAAATTTAAATTACCTTCTATTATCGGCTAACAGTGCGACTGCAGAAGTCAAGCTACTTTCGTGATTCGAAAGCACATGGTAAAAGCCCACAAATAACACAAAAGCCACATGGTAACGGCCTAAAACTCGGAGTCTTCGCTCACCCACGTCAACCATCCGTTGCGTCAGTTCCAGAAAGTTGACAAGCTCATCTAAGGGGGGGGGGGTTAACCCCGCAAAAAGGACCCTTTCAATTCCACAAAGACCAATCCCCTTTTTTGACTTTTT